TGTTGCTGTTCACGTTCTGAATTCTCTGCAGGTAAGTCATGCTGTGTCTGTGGCAAAGACGTCTGACACAGTGAGAGTAAACAGTCATTTTAGACACACAGTGAATTGTCTGAAGAAGCTGGGAGTCTCCGTCGACAACAGCATCCAGGTAGGAAACTAAAAAGGATACATGACCGTATATCACGGCACCTGATTTAACTGAGATGAGCGTGCACTAAACCCTGGATGGTGACTGCGTCCAGGTGGAGTTTGGTTCTGCTGAGGGGAAAGGCATGAGCTTACAGTCCCAGTTTGGTGGTCAGCTGGCGGGACTGAGGCTTAAGATGAAAAATGTTCCCATGACTAAAGAAATAAGAGGAACCATGTGGCACAGCTGGTCATGGCTACACGACAGAGGCCTGCCATCTAATATAGAGGTACCTACCTAATGGCTCTACATGCAGACACAATGTTAACCTACTTCTATGAGTTTAAAAAAACATTTATTTTTATGTTTCTGGTGAGCTGAGGTTTTCCTGTCTCAGAACATCCTATTAATTCATGAGATGAATGACAAAAACGAGTTGCTTTCTTCTTTTACTTTCTTCTCTAGGGTCTTTGCTCCATCCAAGGAACCTTCTCTCAGCTTCAGTCCAGGGCTCAGCTCACTGTGGAGGGACACAAGCTGCTCACATCTGGCTTGAATTTCAGTGGCACCAATGGACATCTGTCTGTTCTCCTCTCCTACTCTCCTCCAGCTTTCAATCAAACAAGAACTCAATGCAATCTGGACGCCGTCCTCACTGCTCAGTTCAAAGGTCAGACAAAAAGTCGGGTTTAACGTTGTTATTTTTACTTTAGTCATCTATTTTATTTTAATCTTCATCCCAGTTTCATAATTTCATGCACTTCTTGCTTCGTATTTTCTCTGTTTGGCTGCTGCCCACTTTTGTCTTAAATCCTCTCCATGAAGTGCAATACTGCACAGTGACCAGCAGATGTCAATCTTTTACTTTATAAATTGTTTTATGGCCGTACCTCTTCTCCTGCTGAAGCAAAGAGATGCTTTGGCTAAATGTTATTCTCATGAAGGTGTGATGACTCTACCCTGAGGCAGTGATGCTCTGATACCCTCCGCAGGCC